AAAAAAAAGCTTAACCTTGGTGTAGTTAAGAATACAATTGAAGGCTCTTTTAGGGCTTGTTACTGTAGACCTTCTAAGCTGTTTGCTTACTTAAGCCATATTTGTAGGCTTGTTATGTCAAACACTTATCTTTCCAGCCATCGTTTTCTGCATGGCTCCTAGGTCTTAGCTAAATTGAGTTAAATCTTCTAAATTCATTACGTTTATCTTGGTTCAACATGATAAGATTAAAATCAACTAAGTAAGTTACAGACAAAAATGATGTGGATTTAACTACTCGAAATAGAAGCTCATAAATACTATTCTATAACAGTATTTATTATCAGAAAGAAGAATTTTTTGTTAATAATTTGAATGCTGTAAGAATAAGTTTTTAGTTGTGGCAGTAAAGAACATTCTTTCATTTAACTTTTTTTTCCTTAGCACTTTATACCGCAAACTAGTAACAAGAGACAACAAAACGATGAATCATCTATAACCAGGGGACACTAAGTCACAGCCACTGTAATTAAAATAGGCTAATATTTGAATGAGTAAAATCTGAGATGAATTAACTATTAAAATCATATTATTGGGATACTTAACGCACTTACTTTTTATTAAGGTACAGTGGTAATTTTATCAGCTCTAGTCTTGCAGTTTGCTTCAAGCATGAAGTACAATCAATAAACGTATAATTACGTTATAACATTTTTATGATTTAAGTCAACTAGTTTATTTTTAATTTTTTGAATATCTCTTAGTGTTACTATCTTCTGTGTTTTTACAAATAAATACTTGTTTATTTTGAAAAATGCGTAAAAACTTTAATACTAATATGTGCATGCTAGACTTCTGCATGAGAAGACGCTACAAAAAACTTCGCTTTTCTTTGGATTATCAATTTTTCATGGGAATAATCTGAAATTTGAAAATATATATTTTGCACTGATATGAACTAGTATTTGTAAACTTTAAGAGAGCTGACATTGTGCATACACAGGATATATACAAAGAGACATTACATTTTTTCAGAGAATAAAAAATGAGCGAATTGACTTAAATAATAAAAATTTTATAACGAAAGTATACGTTGTTACGGGGTGCAGCCGATGTGGAGTAGCGAAGCCGAACTGGCAACCTCGACCGGACCTGTGTTGCCTGGGTACCCTCGGTGACACCTCCAATGAACTTTATACGCGGGTCTCGCTCTCCGAGACACCGCAGGGGCCAAATATCGTGGCAACCTTGAACGTCGTAGCCTCTCGCGACGACTTTAACGCGGCACAAAGGGGATCGGGCACACAAAAAAGGAAGAACTCGCGAGTAAGTTTAAATGAGAAATATATTCAATTAGATGTATAAAAAATTACAAAATCGTACTCGCGGGTGTAGGTGTGTGTTCTCGCACGTCGAGCGCAATTGCTCGACGTGCTCGCGGCGCGAAAACGCGAACCGGGCAGACCTACGCAGGCTAATCTAGGGCTGCTGCCCTTTACAATAGACTGCCTGTTGGCAGGTACTTACAGCGATGCGGGGTCGCTTCCCGACGATGCCTCTCGCAGGCCAAGTCTACATGGAAGCAGTGAAGCGGCTACGCTGAGGTCAGTAGGCGTCCCCACTGGCCGCGTTCGAAGGCCGAGATCGACGGTATCGGCCTCGGTGACCCTGAATCTGGCGTCGCCTGCTATCCCAGCAGGATCCAGACACTCAGCACCAAGCACTGTACCGGGGACAGCTTAAGCACAGCTGCCACGACAACAATCGCAGGAACGGAAACACTCCAGAGGATGCGTCTCACGTCCCCCAAAACAGAATTCGCTTCACGCGCGTTCGCTGGCCCAAGCTAATATAATTCCTTTTCAGTTTTTTCTTCCTTTTTCCTCTTTTCCTAACTGTCCTCTACGTTTTTCCCTTTTCCTTCTTTCCCTATCGGTCCTAGCCTACCGATGATGGCTCGACGGTATCTCACCGTCACAACGTGTACTTTTGCGTGCTTTAGGCTTGAGACAGACTTCGTGACTACAGCTAATGGAATCTTGACAGTACTTTAATGAAAAATAAATCTGCAATAATACTTTAATTTTATTATGAGAAAAAGCGATCCCTCTGTCGTCCCGAGCTCGCCTGCAGCTGGCGTGAGCGCTATCATAATTGAAAAATAAGAACCATTTAAATATCTTATTTTATACTTTTACCTCCTTGTATCATAGAAATAAATATGATAATAGAAACCTATAATTATCTTCAACTTTGACAGTTCCTCACATGTACAAAGTCTCAATACTACGCTTAAAAATGAAAACTTGGAACCTCACACACCTAAGCTACAGTGTGAATTTCTTCTACTACATTGACTGGTCTGCAATTCCGTTAAAGGTGGCAAGCATGTCTGTTATCGCAGTTAGCAGCACATCCACAGCTCAAGCCCATTACACTTTAAGACTTTGGTGTATCACTACCTCAACTTAAAAAGTGTGTATTTCCTTTTAGGTCTGCAGAAAACTAAAAGTTCACAATTTTTCATAAGGGGGGGGGGGGATAAGATAACTGCTATTTTAAATATGACTTTACTGCACTTTACGTACGCTGTATGAAAATCAGTGCTATCATCTACAAACTCTTAGGCTGAATTACAAAAAATAAGTAAATAGTGAGCCTGAGTAAATTTATACTTTTGTCTATGTAAGTCAACGTTTTATTAATTGGATTAAATATAAAATTAGNAAAACAGACAGTAGTGCATAGATAGCCTTATATATTATATATTTGTTTTTACTCTTTGTATTCTCTTCGTGCAGCAATTTGAAACAACGCCACATGCAGGGAAAACGATGTCAATGCTAACTCACAAAAATATACAGCATCAGGTAAACAACGATAGATTACAAGAATTATTGTCAATGTTATTACAATGATAATCATTATTATTGTTATCGAAATCATAATTTTTATTTCTCTTATTACCATTATAACCATTGTTTTGACTATAAATATAAATGACTTTTAAGGAAATGGTATAGTAATGGGTGAGTACAACGTCGGATGTATTAGAAAGTTTGTAGGTTCCTTTTTTATATTATACTTCTTAAGTTTGGTAAGCAGCTTAACCTTTTTTTCAGATGCAATTAGCCTAAGCTGTGGGTGAGCACCCTAAAATATTTTTTAGTAATGTGTACATACAGCCAGCCAAAACTTCTTTTTTTTATATTTTACAGCCATTTCAGAGAACTGTGCCCAATAGGTTTTGCTATCCTGTGTCACTATGTATTATTACGGGGTGCGTACGATGCGGATCTAGCGAGGCGAAGACCTCTTCCTTGACCGAGCCTGTGTTGCTCAGATACCCGCAGCGGCACTCCTTGTAATACATCTATGCGTGGGTCTCGTCCGTGGGGACACTGCTGGGGCCAAGTATCGCAGCTACAGGTGTCGTCGCTTCTTACAACGACTTTTACACGACACAAGGGGGGAATCGGGCACACAACAAATAAATACTCGCGAGCGATATTTTATAAAAAGAGAGTATATTCAAAAAAGGACTATAAAATAAAATACAAAAGGTACTTACAGGTGTAGGTGTGTGAGTGTGTATGTGTGTGTTCTTATACGTCGAGCACACAAGATCCGAAGCATAAACTACTGTGCTACGGTAGCCGTAATTTTTTTCATAAATATACTGTCAAGTATATTTTAATTCTGATAAGTTTATCTAGTAGCTTGAAAAGCCTATATACCTTAGATTATACACTAAAAACAGACAGTAGTGCATAGATAGCCTTATATATTATATATTTGTTTTTACTCTTTGTATTCTCTTCGTGCAGCAATTTGAAACAACGCCACATGCAGGGAAAACGATGTCAATGCTAACTCACAAAAATATACAGCATCAGGTAAACAACGATAGATTACAAGTGTTTATTTCAACAATAATAAGTATTTAACAAGTAAAACAAGTTTTTTCAGTCCCAAGTAGCATGTGAATAGCAAATAATACTTTTTTTAATTTAACGAAAGAAAGTAAATTTCTAGTATAAAATAGATATAACGTATGAGTAAGCATAATAAATATTGTTTTTTTTATGTGCTTATTTTAAGTACTCTACATCATTAACTGATTTTTTACAGAAATCGCAATACTTATTAACAAAATACAACTATAAAAAAAGAAATAAAATTTTTTTTATCATAGTACTATGAAATAGGTATTTTTCAACTTGAAAGTATTCTCAACACCCAAAAAAATTACGTCAGTTAATAAATATACTTAACTGTTGAAATAAATGCTTGTAACAGATCATTGCCTATAAGATTCTGTGTATTTTTGTTAGTTATCATCGACATCTTTTCTCCTGCAGTGGCATGGTTTCAAATTGCTGCATGAAGCGAATACAATACATATCTGCCGTTGCTCGTTTACTCATTTCATGAGTTAACCCCCTGTATGTAGGGCACACCTAAGGAAGTTTTATGTCAGTAGTGTAGCAGTTCTTATAGTTTTGTAGATTAAAAGTTATCCTCTAGAAAATCGTTATCTTTTTTTAATAAATATTTTGCAGCTGTCATCTACAAACTAACGTGCAGTTTTATCTTATAATTTAGCTACTAAATTAAGGTAAGAGAAGCATAACCTTCGCAACTATAGAAGAAAGTATACTTACACTAATATTTTTAAATAGTTTTAAGTAGATATTTCAGTAAGTGATTTACTTATACATCCCGTACACGTTACATCTGATGAAAGGTACCCATGATTAATCTTCTGACCTCTGCCAATATGAAATGCCTTTATACTTTGATAACAAATAATAATGATTGCAATTAACAGAGTGAACAAAGATTAATAAAAACAAGAGGCATTATGAATATACTTAAACTATTTTACATCATGTACTTCGATCAAAAAACAGTCGGAATTAAAACCAATGAAATGTTTAAGTTACAAGCAATAGATATTTTTATAACTCAATTAGTATATATGTATTTTAAGTATGTAAGTATTTTTAAATGTTTAATACCTGAATTCTGTCTGTATAGTTGTCAAGTAACAACACACCAGATCCAGCGACTTTTTTGGTCTCGACCATAGTCTTGAGATCGGCAAGAAGTGACATGTGCTTCGACATATCAGTGGACAGCACCATGTCAATAACCATTTTTCGTAATGTTTGGCGCTGTTTTTTTGTGCAGTTGACGAAGATGTCACAGCCTTCATTTTGTAAAAGTTTAAATGCAACTGCCAGATGATGATTTTCTAGTACAGATTCATCGTTATACATCAAAGCTAGTTCTGAACCTGTTTTATTGTAAATGGTCATTTTAATAATACATCAGTTTTTTAATTGTAATTGAATGTAGTATACTTAAATACAGAAGTCTGCATTGAATCTTACTTGAATTAATGAGAAATTGATTTGTCAGACCAGGATGATCAACATCATGAATACTAGCAGCAAAAAGGGCCGCTGTTATCTCTAAGGGTGTGAACACAGACTGGAAAATAATTATGAAAAAAGTATTTATTTAACAATAGTGTATTAATAAAATTCAAAATTAAAAAAAAATTCATCAGTTGTTGAGTTATTGTACTTTGGTAATCTAAAGAAATGTTAAATGATAAATCTGACAAGCTGTAAAGACAAATATTACTGTTTCTTGTCTTAAAAAAATTAAAGTTATAACTGTTTTTTTTTTTAGTTTGTGATTTTGATAAAAAAAATTAGGAATCATTATTCTACTTTCACAGATAATTAAGGTACTTATATACATAGAACCATAAAAAAAAGAAAAATGGTTTAACCAGTTGTCAGCGTCTGTAGGAGTTTGGTTTCGATAGCGCTCATGGACTCAAAAGTAGGGCTGATAATGTACTTAACCTTGAATTTTAAGCACCTGAGGTGATAAAAAATTTTGCATCATTTATCAGTTTTCAAAAAGTTGGTAAAAATAATTTTCAAAATAAAGTTTCTTATCCAATTTCTTACAGAAAAGTAAATGTCAAAGTACTAGTTCAGAAACAATTCTAAGTTAAGATTTTTTATACATTTACAGTGGTTCGCCTCTGGGTTTGTTTACAATAGTAGCAAATTGATAGACTCGTATACATACACTACATTAAGGCCTTGTTCTCTCGTTGTGCGTATGCGCAAGAAATTCAACGTATGTTATGTGTCATAATTATATGGGTGAGAATTCTTTTCCCTGCTAAGCTGAGTATGGAACAAATAATTAAGCAGATAACATCTTTATTAAGCGCCTTAGTAATATCCACGCTAACCCCTAACTTCTTAAGAATGAGGAGAAAGCTCGTGATCTAAGCTAAGTACAAATCTGTTATTTTTTATTTAACTGTCATAAGAGTTATTGGAGTTCTATTGATATGGTTACACTTAAAATTCATAACGTTCTTTTGCTTGACTAGCCTCTAAGCATAATTCTTACACATCAATTTTGCAAAGTTGTCCACGATAAGTTTGAAATTTTTAGTGCAGTTACATTGTACCTACAATAGAAACTTCTTGCAATTTTATCTAGTTTGTGAGACATATGGGCTTACTGCCAAACCACCTTAAATAAAGCTTTTTAAATAGTTACGGACTTCTCAATGTAAATAAGGTTTTCAGGAAAATTGACTTAAGTAAGGTTCTAGAATCCAATACTGCATCATAAGGTTCTTAAGGTTATGTTTCTTGTACATTCAAAATGCAGTATAACATTATACCTGTCTTTTATTTTCGCTGTGTTGATGATGTCATAATGCGCATAAATTGCAATCAGTATGCTTTTATTTTATATAATTCTAATTTGTATTCTCTTCGTGCAGCAATTTGAAACAACGCCACATGCAGGGAAAACGATGTCAATGCTAACTCACAAAAATATACAGCATCAGGTAAACAANGGTGCAAGAGATTTTTTAAAAATTTATTTTCTATTGTTTCTAGAAAATTAAAAGCAGCCTTGAGCCACAGTATCTGGTCGCAAACCTCCAAGCTCTTTTATCTTGGGTTGGTTCGCTTCTGAATTTGAAAGAGCAGTAGTCCCACAGTGTCTACAATAGTGACCAGTGAAATACTCCTAAAATATAATAAATTCTCTTGCAAGTCTTTGTATCGTAAGATATTTAAATATCGGTGGTCAAAATGAGTTGCAAAGATTTCTGCTGACTCCTTTTTTTTAATTATTAATAAAAAAAGTAATAAATGGTTACGTATATTCAAAAAATAATAGTACGAAGAATTAAAACAGAAGAACTTTTTCTATGAATTTGAAGGAAACATAATTAATTATTTTACGCTACTCAGGCTAAACAAATGTTACAATTGTATACAAAACACAGAAAAATAATTATATTTAACTATTAATTCAGTTGAAACGATAAATGCGATCTGAGCAATACCCTTTTTGTAGATTGACAGAATATAATTATTGAGAAGCCTTAAGTAAAAAAGACATAAATTAAGGGAGGGAAAGAGGGTAGGTGAAAATTAAAAATATTCAAAACAAGAATTTTAAAAAGTTATTTACTAAAAAAATTTTATGCAACTTAATGCCAAAATACATATTGCTGCTGCTTTTTACGTAACTGTTTATTATTAAAAAAAAATTCACCTACCTTGATGTTTCAAGGTGTGAGTTCATAAGGGATCTTATAAGCTCAAATGCTATCTACTGGTAGTTACGTAAAATAACCTAAAATTTTTATTTTGTACTAAATAATGTGAGAGTAGAATATTTGGAGCTTTATTTAATTCATCCTGAAAGTTATCTCACACTGTTTACTAATAGAAAAAAGTTTAATAAAGTGTAATGATAGGAACTACATGTTGTAGTTATGTTTAAAAAACTTAGAATTGATGGGCTTTTTAAGACCAGATGGTCTTGTTTCTAAAGTGACAAAAACTTATTTCAGACAAATAACTTTTTTATTGAATACCTTCTCAACTATTTTTTCTGATATTTAGATATAAAATTTCACATATACTTATCTAAAAACTTATTGCCTCAAACAGGATCAAAAAAGTTTCTGTTATTGTCAATTTGTAACCTACTTGTACCGATAAAAGTTCTTATTTTCAGGTTATAAATAATAGAATCAAAACTTCTTTTGGTGTTTAAAAAAGATATGATCAACATTCTATAACAGTCACAACCATTATTAGTGGATGGCAGAAAAAGTTGTGAGAGAAAAATTACATTTGTGGCAAGATGGAAACGGACTGACTGTCCAAAAATTAACCCTTAAGAAATGTATGACTCACAAAATAAAAGTACCTATCAAAAATTTCTGTCAAAATCTATCGGTTTTTTGTTATTTTATTATTTTTTTTTTTTTTTTTTTTACAAAAATTTGTAATACAAACCAAAGTTGCTGAAATTTTTAACGAACTTATAACACTTATCATTTGCTCTTCTTATTATACAATTATTATAATAGCTCATTTTATAGAAGAGCAGTAATTATTGAAATGTTGTTCTTACAAAACGTACCAATATGTTACGTCAGCAAAACTAATATTTTTATATATTTGCTGTATTACTATTATTATACAGACATACGGATACATCGTTGATACATTATTTTTAGTTTGACGTTATAAGGCCATACAGCTGTCAGCAAAACGATGTGAATTGAAAATAAGTCAATAAACATTAGCAACATTATCTGATGGAAGTTAATTTATTTCTGACCCCTGTGAAATCACCAAATTTAATTTATTCTTTACTATACAACTGGAGCAAGTTACTTGATATAATCTTGTTTATTCTACACAATTGAAGCAAGTTCCCTTTTTTTTCTAATCAGAATTTTGATGTAAGTGTCTGTTTTTGGCATTTTCCGATTGATTACATTTTTTAAAAGGTATATATCAAGGCAATCGCAGTACATACTAAAATGAATGATAAAAATCTTGTACAAAATCATTTAACTCGCAGAACTTGGATCACACATAAAAAATTTTTTGTTTATTTCAACGTTCTTTACAGAAAGAAATAATTGAGAAGGGGAATCACATGCATATATACACATATATGTTTATTCATGCGAAATTACAAACTGCTGAATAATATAACGATTTAAAAGATGACAGCTTGCAAAGCTTTTCACAGAATTCTTTTTTTTTTTTTTACTGCTTAAGTTCACCATTTTACAGCATTTAAGTGGTTAAACAAGCTTGCCGTTACAAAGCAATGTGTTACCATAGCATCTTTAAGTGAAAAGAAAGACGAATGGATAAATTTGACGAGCGCTTCAGAGCCACCGTCTGTGAAAGCCTCTGGGTAAACACAGGGCACTTCTTTACTACATTTATCTGGACAGTCACAGAAAGATATATTATGCCCCTGATAACCCTTTATTGTCATCCTGACATGACTCACACAACTGGCAACCATTCAACAAACTGGGATGAAACGCTAGATAAAGAAATTAATTTAAAAAATATAATTGATTGAAAGATAACTTGTTTTAATCGTAACAGTTTAAGATCTTTATGGCTCCAAACATTAAAATTAAAATTCAAATAATTATGGTTGATATTTATATTATGAATTATACAATATTGGCAATTTTAAAAATTTACAGAAGGTACATCTTAAAATCTTTCATTCTTGGTTTTTGCTCCTTTTCCCTGCTGGTTCACTATCAATGCTGCCTTCTTCCTTTAAAATACTATTGAATGGCTCACACATTTCAACTTATTCTTAATTGTCTTCATATTTTTTTCCTAATATATGATTAACTTTATTAGACTTTGCTGAACTAGTTTCGATACTTAAACAACTGGTGCAAGAGATTTTTTAAAAATTTATTTTCTATTGTTTCTAGAAAATTAAAAGCAGCCTTGAGCCACAGTATCTGGTCGCAAACCTCCAAGCTCTTTTATCTTGGGTTGGTTCGCTTCTGAATTTGAAAGAGCAGTAGTCCCACAGTGTCTACAATAGTGACCAGTGTATCCATTTGGGTTTTCCAAGTTTAGATAGAGAGCGATAGTTTTCGGAGCACCAGCTATTTTGTGTTTTCCTATTACTTAACGGGTACATTTCCCATTACTTTACTAAAGCAAAAATCTGTCACTGGGTGTATATTCGATTCTCAAAGCCACATATTTCTTTATTGTGGCAAAGTAAGGCAAACGGATGACCAAATTATACGAATAGTAGGTTTTTGTATCACCAACTGTCACAATGTATAAATTGTTTGTATCATTTACATCACTCGTCCTAAATTAAGTCATTTTCGTACACTACATGGCTTCAAACAATCCAATAATCAAAACTACTTGCAGAAGCCAACATATGTGAGTATTCCATAAAATTGTGTGCATAAAATGATGACAATAATATCAGTCATATTCATTACCTTCATAAACAAGTAAATACAGTCTTCAGCAACGTTAAGAGACTCTGTGATCTGCGGCCAAGTTTAAATAAGAGATTTTTTAGTTGATAGCCCACGAGTTAATTTTTAAGCATAATTTTAGTCTTGCCCA